GGAGATGCTGTCAGGCTCTTGTGTCAAGGACATGCTCTGGCCTGAAGAACAAAGACAACAGGAGCCAACCTCCGGTCACATGCACTGTTCCAGCCAAAAGACGTCCTGTCATGTACATAGCCTATGAGATATCTGTAAAGGATTGCATCCCCTTGTACATTGCCCCCTTTCTCTTTCAACTCATTGATTGTGTCAAAATTGTCCACGTTTGTAATAGTAACTTTCAAAACTATTGTACTAAAAATAAAATTGCACTCAATAAAAAAAACCAAAAGAATCTTCAGTGTATTATTAACAGCAATTACTAAAAACAAAAAGGGGAATATCAAAGGATAATGACCATCCGTTAAAACTATACACATTTAGAAATTATTATTGCTGAACTTCAATGGAAAGCCAAGATGATTTTCCATAGGATGCAACTTTCTTACTGCTTGCTGCTTTAATAATATTAAAAAATAAATAATTTTGGTTCATTCTACTGCTAATATCATTAATACAACAGATAAGAAAAGGGATGTGCCTGCAGCACATGGATTATACTATTCTGGATGCTAAGAAATAAAGGATTTTCGGAGTTGACTGACTGGATTTAATTAGATAGAATATTTCTAGAGTTTTAATGTGTGTGTGTTTGTATGCATACCCTTTCTAATTGCAGAGCCGTATAATAATAGGATGGTTATTTGTCTGTTTTTTTCTGCTATATTTCGAGGTTAGTAATGAATGCATTAGTTCATATGCAAGCGAAGGGGCGGGAAAATAAACTGATCTCAGGATTGCTTTTCAAACAAGATGCTGTCCCCCCCCCCCAATAACTAATGCTAATGACATGAATCTAGTTCATATTTGCAGAACTGCATCAAGGAATTTCTCTTGCCTTTTTTGTTTTTAGTTTAAACTAATATTTCACTGCTAACATTGGCATTTATAAAAGATAATAGTGTTCCTGTTCAAAGAGCTGGAAGAAACTATGGTAGGTTTGGGGTTAGTGTCTCTGTTAAGGACCTGTCTAAACCAGAATCCTCCTGAAGTTGTGACTTATGCCTTGATCACTGCTCAGCTGGACTACAGGTAGACCTCGACTTACAATAGTTCATTTAGTGACCGTTCAAAGTTACAATAGCACTGGGAAAAGTGACTTATGACCATTTTCAAAGTTGCAACCATTGCAGCATCCCCACAGTCATGCGATCAAAATTCAGATGCTTGGCAACTGGCTCATATTTAGGACCATTAATATGTCCCAAGGTCAGGTGATCACCTTTTGTGACCCTCTGACAAGCAAAGTCAATGGGGAAACCAGATGGACTTAACAACCAGGTTGTTATCAACTGCAGCAATTCACTTAACAACTGTGGCAAGAAAGGTTGTAAAATGGGACAAAACTCACTTAACAAATGCCTCACTTAAGCACAGAAATGTGTGGCTCCATTGGGCTTGTAAGTTGAGGACTATCTGTACTGTAGTATATTCAGGGGTGGGTTTCGACCGGTTCGCACCGGTCCCTGCGATCCGGTTGGTCGCCGAACCCGGAAGTAAGTAACTTCCGGGAACGGCGAAGCCCCCCCCCCGCACCCGCGCACGCCCGCACACCCGCGCCCACTCCTTACCCGGTTTTTACGAATTCTGCGCTTTCCACGCATGCACGGAACGCCT